TTTTTTGAGAGTGCTTAAACTCGCGATAGATCAATGTTAGCGATAATGTCACTTTCTATATATAATTTATTCGCTGTTTTAAAACCGTGGAAAGGAAACGTTATAGCCTATAATTATCAATTTCTAACATTTTTATTAAATTGTAATCACGTTAAATACAAATTCAGTCCCATTAAACATTTTTTTTAGCCTACATGACACCCATGTCTGGTTCTTGCCTAAAAAGATGGGTTTATTATGTTTAATACATTTGGCTGCTTTTAGCCTTACCCTGGAGTTGGTTCACCCTCCGCCTATGGTGCATCCTAATTATTATTTTATGGCTGACCAATTATTATTTAAGTGTCTGACAAATATGCGCTTTTCAGTTACAGCCAGGTGGTTGATGGCATAAAAACAAAATTACAAAATTACTGAAATTAATGTTAATTTTACACAGATTTCACAATATATACATATATTTGAACAGTTTGGTTTAAATAAATTTTAAAAAAACTTGGACTGATTTGTGAATGAACATTCATTTAAAAAATTGAATGCAAAGATTTGTTCACAAATCAGATATTGTCAGTTTAAAAGCTTATAGGGATTTTAAGTTGTAAAATATTTAACTGGACACATAAACTTGCGTATTTGGTTTATCCTACAGGTGTGAGTGGTTATGAGAAACCTGTAGGCTACTGAGATATCAAAGGTAGCCTATTTATTTAATACAAGTTTCTGGAGTGAACTTATTTGTTAGAGTGAACAACAGGGTTGATGGCAAACATTAAAGAAAGTTGGCTCAACCTAAGCGATGATAATAATGGTTAAGCCAACACTGGGGTGAAAGGAACAGGTTGATGCCAGTGACTGAGTGTAGATCGTATTTTGTTGCGCATTATTGAGCGCCTCATGTCTGACTCAGTCACGCACATCAACCTGTTCCTTCAATGGCACCCATGACATAAATTCAAAAAGCCATTTGAAGGCGAAATAATACAGAACATCTACAACTGATACGTAGTCCAAACTCTAGTGACGGAAAATCATTGAAGCATCATTGCGAACGTGACAAAAACATTGCGGAAAATGACAACTACTCCGCTCCACGCACGCGAACTGTTTGTGTTCACTTTGCGCACGTTACTGTAACGAGCATTTTCTTTTTCTTTCAATTTTAACCTGAATACGCACAACATGAGCAATTATGTCGAACAAACACACCGATACATTTCCGAAATGTAAAGACATAAAAGAGCACAAAAGCTGCGTATTTAGTACACTTGCGTCAACATCAGCGTATACTCTGTTTAATAATTAATCATATTCCTCTGACCCAAAGAACAGACTTAACTTACCTCACACACAAAACATTGCCCTCTGAAATTATACACGGGTTACACATTCAGCTGATGGCAGAAATTATCTCTATCACAGCGCAAACAAGCTGATATTGCGGGAATATTCCGTAAAATCTGACAACTCCACGCGCTTCCCCGTGATGGAGGCGAGCGCGCGCGCGTATCTATGGTGCGTATGACAACAGGAAATTTTCTATTGGGAAAACATACGCTTAAAGAGCACAGAAGCGCCTCCCCCGTCCAACACTACAGCCAGTCAGTCCTCATACTGACACATCACGATCCACACTCAGCTACAAATATGACAAAGACATTCACTCAGCGACAAACATCATCTGCAAATGAACATGACGCCACTGTATAAACTTAATATTTATGAGGGTGATGCAAATAAACAGGCCATCTGACTGGAATTTAGAATATAATCCCTATATTAAACTGATTTAGTAATTATTGCTGGAATAATCCACAACTGTATTATTTACACCAGTTGCCAGTAGTTTGTCAGATAAACAACAAAGCAAAGAATCATAACTTTTCTCTTAAAACCAATTTATAGAGCCCTTTAAAGGAATAGTTTACTCAGAATTTAAAATTCTGTCATAATTTACTCACCTTCATGATCACTGGGTCTATGGAAAATATATCTGATAAAACATGACATTTTCTGCCTAATGATCTTTAAGATATTTTATGTTGTGTGAAAGTTATTATAAAGTGTTTAGGCCAGTTCACACCTACAATAATGATAAAATATTGGCTATAGTTTTAAAACTGGTTCTAAATGTAAAAGTATAGTATAGTCCACACAACTATAATGATAAAGACACAGAGGAACGCTATAATTGGAATACTTTCAGAATGATATTTTTTTTCCAGCAGATAAACAATAAAAACATTGTCAGTCAATCAGAATCCATTCTGCTTAAGGATTTAAAGCGGCATACAACAAAACTGCAGCACTCGCATAGAATAAACAGAATGTTATCGTCCACTGGTGTGGAAGCTAATATAGTTATCGTTCTTGGTGTGAACGGGCCTTTACTGAAAATGTTGGAAAAGAGCAGCATGGACATTCTGCTAAACATCTCATTCTGTGTTCTATGGAAGAAATAAAGTCATACAGACTTGGAATGACATGAGGGTGAGTAAATCATGACTGAAGATTCATTTTTTAATGAATTATTCCTATTTCTCTGCCCATCCATCAGATGAATGGATGGATTTATCCTTGACTCATGCATAAATAGATTATGAAATGAAACACAAGGGCTCAAAGAGTGAGACTGAAGCTAATTCCAACCTGCAAGATCATTTCATCTGTTGATTCATGTCTGGAAGTGCGACACTTTGCAACTATCATTAACACTTAAGCCAGAACATATTGGTATGAGCAGTTTCTGGAATGCCACATCTCAAACATAAACATCATGCTTATCGAGGTCAAAACACCAGAATCAACAGCAGGCAATTTCAGTCTCAGATGCTTTGCTTTGCCGTCGCAGTGCTGCCAGCATTTGAGGCACAGAACCCAAACCCTTTATTTGAGATATCTCACCTCAGAGGCAAACACAGAGCTGTACTGTTTGGATTTCCAGCATAACTGTAGTGGCGTCAGAGGCAGGAACCATCTGAAAAGAGAGAGGACAAAGACTGGAAGAGTCAGTGGCACACCTGATACTCTCTGCTGGGGAGAGAAAGCTCAAGCCCAGGGGAGGGTCACTGCTTTTCTGCTTTTCTGTTGCCCTGAACAATACAGACAGAGAGACTGCTGGGGGGAAAAAAAACCTGCTTGTGAGAAGGATTATGCAGTACACTGTAATTTCTCTCGATTTCTTTTAAAGACCATATGAAAGTAAAATGAAATGTTGTGGCTAAATTCATGTCCATTAGGTTTAAGGTCACTTACTGTATATGCTACTACTAAAAGTTAAACATTTAGCAGATATACACTTATGTTCATAAGTTATGGTTAAGATTTTTTAAATAAAATAATGCAAATAATAATACTTAATTTAGAAAGGATGCATTAAATTGACCTAAAGTGACAGTAAAGACATTCTATTTCAAATGCTGTTTTTGATACTGTAAACAATCACGGTTTTCATAGAAATATTAAGCAGCACAACTGTTTTTGACATTTGTGCTGACAATTTTTTAAAAAGCAACCAAATCAGCATATTAGAATGACTTCTGAAGGATCATGTGGCACTGGAGACTAGAGTAATGAAGCTGAAAATTCAGCTTTGCCATTAGGAATAAAGTACATTTTAAAATACAATAAAAACAGAAACAGTAAATAGGAAACTGTGTAGTGAAATTGTAGTGATATTTCACAATATTCCTGTTTTTTCCCTGTATTTTTAATTAAATAATTGCAACCTTGGTAAGCATACTTCTTTAAAAAACATTTAGATATTTTATATAGTTAGACATTTCTGTGCAAAACAGCTTTATTCAACATATTTCTGTAAAGTATTTATGACATCCAGAATTCAGTGTTGCTAGTCAGCTGTTGCTACAATAATTATATTACTGAACAATGCAACTGATTCTGAAGCCAAATACCTTAATAAGAATCGGTTTAAAGGAAACATGATTGCTGAAGAGGAATGTGATACTCGCTGGCACAAGGATGATCATTGTTTAAAAAAAGGAACAGCTATAGATGGAGAAAATGACAGAAAGAGAGTGAGCCGAGCTGCAGAGACGAGACTAAACTGAGACTAAAATGTCAGATGAGTCAGTCGTTCCAGTGAGACGGCGAGCCGTAATATGTTTCCACTAGCTTGAATGGAGGCAGAAAATGTACAGTGATGCTGTCAGGGGAAGCAACCCATAATCTGATCTAAATGGAGCTACTCATGCCGCACTCGACCAGGAAAATAAAAACACAGATCTGACCTACTGAAAACAAACCATGACACACCCTCAGATTTCAGATGCCATCCTTTCACCAAGACGACGACAACGCATCACTTTTGTATTTAGGACAATATCTAATTAAATCAGTGGAAAAGAATTTGGAACATGGCAGTAACTCGTTCCACTGCCCCTATGTGAGAGCTGGACCAGAAATAGATGGTGGGCCAGGCATGCTGGAAGAGATCCAGAGTATCCCAGCTCTCCAGAGACAGGCACCCTGCCATCTTTCACAATCTCCCTTCAGATGGACCGGCTGAAGTTGGGAGGTTTGGCCTTGCCTCAGGCATCTGCTAACACATCTAGACATCTTGCCCATGAGCTCACAGATCCATTGCCTATAGCTGTAACCAGATCTCTGGATTAATTGAACGTTTGGGTTCAGAACAAGTTAAGCTCTATCAACGGTATCTGCGGCATGCTGTCCATTAGCACACTTCATTTTGGCTTGGCTCTCAATTTGTAAGCAAACAAAAAATGCAGTTACAGTAATGGATGTACAATTTGTGCAGCTTGTATTTTTTTTAAAGCTTTATTAATGTTAACAAACTTGCGATGTTTATGTCTTGTGGTGTTACTTTTGAAACTTCCATTGAAAGTACATTGTGATTTTTAGTTGATTTAGAAGTTACTAATTCAGTTCAATTCACGTTTATCTGTATAGGGCTTTTCACGATACATATTGTTTCAAAGCAGCTTTATAAAAAAAAAATGAAGGTGTCAATGTAATGTCCATATTGCAGAAATGTACAGTTCTAAAGGCCAGTTCACACCAAGCACGATAACTATAAATATAACGATAAAGATATAGTTCTAAAAATCGTATAAGAATAGCATAGTTCACACCACAACTATAACGACAACGATACAGAGGAATGATATCGTTGTGATCACTTTCAAAACGATTTTTTCCGAGCTGATGAACGATAAAACACTGACAGCCAATCAGAATCCATCCTGCTGTAAAGAGCTCGAGAATTTAAAGCGGCAGACGCACGTGCGCTTAGAATAAACAGACGATATCGGTCGCTGGTGTGGACACTAATATCGTTATATTTTTATTTATCTTATAGTTATCATTCTTGGTGTGAACGGGGCTTAAGATTCTACAAATTGAGCAGTTAGTTATGGTCACATATTCATTCATGCAGAAACAATAAACATATTAAAGCAACGATTACATGATGTGATCATGATGATTATAATAAGCTGTCTGTGGTAACTGACCAAAGAAATGACACGGATGCTGTGAATGTAGTTAATAAGAAAATGCTGTAGAATTTTTCCTGGAATTATATTTTTGTGAATGGAAACCAAGCGTAGATATACATGTATAGTTTGTTATAGTTTGTCAATATTTAATTGGTTGAAAAATCAACAGAAAGATGTACAACACTACAACCCATAAACTGACTTTGATTCCTCACAGCCTCATTTTCATTCATCAAAAAATAAAGGTGGATTATTTTCTCAAAAATATTCATGCAACTGAACTTGTATTAAACCCAGAACATTCCTAAAAACAAGATATTTGCAGATTTTTGTCCTCAACAAAACACAAGCTACTGCTACTGTCAACTCAACATCACACATACATACATACATAATATATATATATATAGGTGAAAGCGTCCGGCCCCCCAGTGTTTCCACATCGTCGAATCCGGCCCCCTTTAGGAAAAGTTTGGACACCCCTGCTTTAAAGCAATGGTTTCAATCAGGAGCCCGGGGCCCACTAGGGGGCTTGAACAATCTTCCAATGGGGCTTCAATAAGACAAAAATATTTAATATAAGACAAAACAACTAGAAATCAAGACATATCTTTTAAGACAAATATCTTTACAAGAAGATCTTGAAGAGCAATGAATAAACCTGAATGTTTGCGAAAGAGTGATTTTAAAACGGTGATTTTTTTAGAACTGGTAAAGTCATGTAAAACAATAAAATATAACTTTATAGCCATTTTTGTAAAGATTTTTCTATGACTTTTTAAAATTATTTAAATGTAAAAAAAAAAATCCTTATTAATTTATAAGCAGTAAATCACAGACATCCAGAAAAGATTGCTGTGGACAATGGGGGGCTTTAAAGTCAACATGAAACTAAAATGGCCCTATTACTTTCTAATACATTCTTTATCTTATTGTCTAAGTAAATGTCATTCCAAAGAAAAAAAAATCTTTATAATCTGCATAATCATTTAGCAAAATACCTCTGAAATGACTTTCCTTTTCCATTGAGGTCACCAGTGCAGCTTATGTTTCAACCGATGGACG